ATATAATTTGTACCACATACACTTATACATCATGGGTACTTTTTAAAGTAAGGCAAGAGTTTGCGTTAATGCAATGACCAAAGTTATCGGACAATGATCAGTAATTATTTCTTCAACAACGACATTGATCTGGACTACATATTGTTCAAGCAGAAAGCCGCTACGTGTCATACTACCCAATAAACCATTGCAATGCTGTTCTTTAATCGATGCTTAATGGTCATGACCATTAAGTACTCGATTTAAGAATAGCATTATGAATGAATGAACAAATGCCTTGGCCACCGAGATTCTAGACAAAACCAATAGATCAATCTATCCAGTAAGAAGCACACACAGAAAAAAATCTAACATAGTACCAAAAACAGCGCTGTCATTGAATGCATTAAAATTGAAGCAATCTAAATTGTTATTTGCTCAATTAATTACTATTAAACCAAAATAGGAAAATATTTTGCCTAAATGTCAAAGAATTTATTGCGTTAAATGTATACATAGTATACCTACAATATTAACGTTATTAAATAAATCAAATTAGTATTTAATGCAATAACATTCTTATTTTAACAAATAAATATCAATATGAATATCAATAGATTTAGGAGCGATAACTTTTGTTGTTAATTTAAAAACAGTAAACGATTATAATCCAAGTGCTAACTACCTATTGGTATTATAGGAACTGTTATTCAGGAATACGGATTACAAGATCCCATTGGTTTAATGGCTCACCCATTCATGCTATGCTAGCGTTTTTTCTGTGCAGATTTCCTAATATACTTTTACTTTACTCTTAGAAGAGGCGCTGTGATCAATAACAATGCAACCAACGATACAACAAAACTTTATGATCTAGGCCGCCATTTTGCTATTTTAGGCAAGCTAATGCGCCATTGTTATTTCAATGATTTTTTTTTATTTTCTGCTGTTGATTAATTTATTAAGTTTTTACGTATATTTTGAAAGGTATGTTTTATTGACCTATTACACTGAAAATTTTTATTTAAAAATTTTTACTACTACGTAATTGTAGTATAGGTTCAGTAGAAAATAAAAAGGCAAAATGTTTAATATACATTTACGATGCATAAAGAAAAACTAAGCATTTATCTAGTAATACTGCAACAAAAATGTAGCCTAAATTAGTATGAAATAATACATTCTTTAGTATTAATGGCGACCTAAAACCCTTAATATATAACAACAGGAAAAATGTCAAATATAATATAACAGTTGTTATAGTAGGCTTAACTAAAACAGATCCTATTTAAAAGTATTACAAAATGCTGACAAACTAGTACCACATCGTTAATTTATAAACAACTCAGACAGATATTATCAAGTAACAAGTAACTCTTCCGAATATGAATTCTTTCATCGGGACTAAACATTTGTGGTAAGTATTACTACAACGTTCTATTATATCTTACACATTTTGAAGTTGGTAATACTAAAACAAAGCTTATCTATACTGTTCATCGCGCACAATCGCCATTGTTGTTGGTAAGCTTGCATAAAGACGCCTCAATGGACGATTTGCTAATAAATTGGAAGTTACAAGATTTAATTTCTGTTTTTACGGGTAAGTAAATACTTAATTATTTATGTATTATTAAGAATATCTACCTCACATAATTTTAATTTACTTCATTCTAATATTACGCTTTTTGCTTTTGCTTGTAAAGGGGTATTTACTTCATTCTATTTAATAGTGTGATCAGTATCACCACGGCGTTCTCTATTATAGAGAACGCCGTGGTATCACCTTTAGGTTTATATTCGCTTGCAGCCTTTGCGTGGTGACGGGATAAACATTTTTGCCTTTTACCACAGAAAAACTATGACGTTATTTTTTAATATATTAGTAATATCCACAGAACGAGTGTTCTGTGGTAATATCTATACAGTGGGGCTATGAGTTTGAAAACTTATAGCTAACCCTTTTGGGAATGACAAACACTTGTTTAATATTAAGTAAAATTTAACAAATAAGTATTTATTATATTTTTATTAAATGTTTTATTGTTACACCTTCTCATATTTAGTATATATATTGTATTATTGTTGGTTTAGGTTTTTTTGTTTATCATAAAAATTAAGAAGAAGATATCATTTATTTTATTTTAAGAATTTTATATATATTTTTTTAATAAAAATTTGTTGAAAAACATGTTCTCTTTTATCCTATAACCTTTACTGCATACTTTTACATAACACCAAAAAATCGATAATCGATAACCTTTTAATTCAGTATTTATTCCGTTTGGATGAAGTGACCAGATTCTGTCTAAAAATAGGGGGACATTTTGTATGAATTTACCTTAATTACAAAATTAACACAATGATACAATGCCAATTAAAAATTTGACGTCACTTAATTATTGTTAATTGTATTATTTTTGTAATTAAGGTTAATTTACACAAAATGTCCCCCTATTTTTTGACAGAATCTGGTCACTTTACGTTTGGAAGTAGTACTGCTTACCAAATAAGAAAATTATTGGTTAAATACCGTAAAATTAGTACATACTGGTTATACAAGTACTAAATATTACCCTGGTAAGTTAATTAATAATAAATATTACTCTTTTTAATAGCATTTCGTTGTTATTAAATATATCTCACTTAAAGCATATTTCAAACGACTAAAGAATGTTCAGACTTACTATAATGCAGTAGTTACTATCAGAATTCGGTAATTCTATTTGATACCACAACGTTGTAGTACTGCTTAAGAAGCTATTAATGGTTAATATGTAACACGACATCTCATTTAACATTACTAAGACTTAAAAACATTTTTGTTGTGGTAATAAATACCACAAACATTTGCTGTCACCTATTTCAACCGTAACAATCTATACTTATTTAACAATTTTTCGGTAACGGCTAAGGATACATTTTTTCAGTGTATAAAAGTGGCTTGTGGTAGGCTAGTTCTATAAAACTCTAAGGAATCTAAACACCAATTTCCAAATCCTTTAAACTTGTTTAATAAATGGGTCAAATTTTGTCAAAACAAACGACTTCTTGTCAAGAAGTTTTTGAGATGACACCTCAAAAAGCCTTTACACATACAAAAAAAGGTAACCATTGATCAAAAATGTACTAAATGCAAAGTATCGTCAAAGCATTTTACTAATGGAGACTTTTTATCCAATAAAATAATTGATTATTGGGCTTACTCAACAAAATTATTACCTCTTTTATTACCAGTTTTTTTAAATGTTTATGGGGTATTCCATACCAAATCCACCACTTTTGAACCCGACCCCTTTAGATTTTGCTGAAACTTTTCCATCCTTTTCTACCCTTTGAAAAACATTTTTGAAAATTTTTTCAAATTTTTTTGTCCAACCTCAAAAAAGTTATGAATTTAAAAAAAAATGGCTTTTTTATTTTCAAATAGCCATAACTTTTTTAGAAATTGACTTTTGTGTACCTTTTTTTTTTAATTTTTGTTTTTGAATGAACTTTTCAAAAAAATACACGAAAAAATACACGAAAAAAATTTAACATGATCAATTATATAAAATAATCGTTTTTTTTTAGTAAAATCGTCATTTTTTCGAAGTTCGCCATTTTTTCTTTTTGTTTTTTTTTTCTCAAAAAAAACTTTAATTAATTTGACAACTATCCCCGCTAATCCCGGAGTGGGCCGATTTTTTTTAAATTTTTTTTATTTATTTAAAAAAAAAATGTCGAATTTTCTTTGACAATTTTTTTTAAATAAATAAAAAAAATACAAAAAAAAATCGGCCCACTCCGGGATTAGCGGAGATAGTTGTCAAATTAATTGAAGTTTTTTTTGAGAAAAAAAAACAAAAAAAAAAAAATGGCGAACTTCGAAAAAATGACGATTTTACTAAAAAAAAACGATTATTTTATATAATTGATCATGTTAAATTTTTTTCGTGTATTTTTTCGTGTATTTTTTTGAAAAGTTCATTCAAAAACAAAAATTAAAAAAAAGGTACCCAAAAGTCAATTTCTAAAAAAGTTATGGCTATTTGAAAATAAAAAAGCCATTTTTTTTAAAAATTCATAACTTTTTTGAGGTTGGAGAAAAAAATTTGAAAAAATTTTCAAAAATGTTTTTCAAAGGGTAGAAAAGGATGGAAAAGTTTCAGCAAAATCTAAAGGGGTCGGGTTCAAAAGTGGTCGATTTGGTATGGAATACCCCTTATATACTTTTGGTTTTGTTTTGGTTTCTTAAAAAGGCCTAAATTATTGTTGATCATAATAATAATAATTGTTTTATTATAAATTTTCATAAAATAACAAATATCCATAAGGGTCAATTAAAAAAATTTTAACCAAAAACTCACCCCTATCGATAAAATATGGATTTTTTTAGTCAAAAACCAATTAAATATAAATTTGATTACAAAAGAGATTTAAAATTAAAATAAAAAGAAAGCTGCTTTATTTATTACCCTTTAATTCACTTTTAGACACATGTGTAATATGCAGGTAAGTAAAAGCTTTAATCTTTTTATTCAAAAATAATGCAGCCCTTTCTGTTCTAAAAGTACAAAGCAACGATGCCAAAAACGCCCGCCAAATTTAAATGTGTAATTTGAGATTGCCCCTTAAATAGTTATTTATGTATCAAGGCAGTATTTACTTTAAAGTCGAATTTTTTATCACGAATGAGTACATGAGTACATGAGTACATAACAAACTATAAAAACCAAAATTTTTAAGGGGCAATCTCAAATTTCACAATTAAATCTGGAATTTTTAACAGCGTTGTTTATGTTTTGATATGGCAACGTCGATTTTTTAATTTTTTCAACTCTCTTAAGATAGCGATTTACTGCATTAAAATTATAATGTCAAGATAGTTTTCTATTGGTTTTGTCTAGGACCAAGATCATACGATTTGATAAAAGAGTGGCCCTAAATTGGACTTTTAGGATGTACTTTATTAAAAATAGCCTAAAATTGTGTCCTGAACCATGAATGTAAAGTAAAATCATTTACTTAAATTAACTTACCCAAAATATCATCCAAAGATGTGGTACCAAAGAACTGGTTATCCGAATGTATACTACTTGCACTATAACCAGGTAAAGCTAACTGCAAAACCATGTTTTCATTTTTTGTTTGATTCTGAAACAAATAAAAGTTTCTAATAACGTGTTTCGTAGACGTATTCAGTACCAAACGATGAGGAATATATTGCATTTTTAAATAAACTATGAGTGAATCTTGTTTTTGTAATTGAACAAATGAAAGTAAAGAAATGTTTGCATAAATAGTGAACAAACACATTGCTTATTGTCACAGGAAATTTTTGGAGCATAACTTTCGGCCAATTAGACTTGATATTTGACGCTTGTGGCTTTTTCTTAAAACGTTTAAAGATAAATAGCGGTTTTAATTATTTGTATCTACTCCAACATTGATGAGCTGTGACCTTATGGCGTTTTAGTCACGGGCTGAGGTTAGCTTTATTATAAATTGGGAAAGAGTGAGGTTAAATTCGTTTGACAGTTGAGAGATGTAAAATTTTTTACAAATAAAATTGGTTTCAAAGTCTGTTTTGTGTTCGTAGATAAATTATTTGATGCAACTCGTTTATAAGCTTCTCTAGAGACTCGTTTTTATTAAACACTCAATCGTAAGCTTTGCTCGTGCTTAATTAAAGTCGCTATAAAACTTGATCCATAATATACTATTACATATTTCATTTAAAATCATTTTTCTAATATTATTTATGTAATTTCCTTTTAACCTAGTTTTTTTAAATATATGATATTTTTTTATAAAAAACACCCTTGATAAAATGAAGGTGAATGCGTGTTAAAATCTTTTCTATACCGCTGAACATTTTACTTAGGGGGAATAAAGTCATTTTCTAAGGGGTAAAACTCTTATATTCAATAAAGTTGTAAATTGAAAGCAAAATATATAGTCAAAAGATGCATTTATATGACGCAATAAAAGATGGCTCTCATTTTAAATCATATCATGAATGGATTTTATCTTTGAAGCCATATTTAATTTCTACTTGCTTTTACATATATGTACAATGTACATAATGTGATTCTATTTCTGTATTTACTATTTATTTGTTCAGCTAAAATAAAAATCATTTACCTTTTTTTTACGATATTTTTTCTTTAAACAAACACATTAAACTGTAACACGATACAACAACAAAATGAACCACTTCTTGTGAGTTTTGATGCATATCAATTAAATTGTTTGTTAATTGTTCATTTCTTAACACTAGGTAGGTATCTGCAATCTTTTTTATAATGCTTTCCATTATAGTCTAACAAAATAATTATTTTTTTGGTTAAATGCTTTGCGTAATTTACCCATACCTACACCTATAGATTTTTCATAATTTAAGTAAAATTATTTTATATTGAAATAGGAATTATTTCTAGGTCATTTATATTCATAAAAATGTTAATTAAACATTAATCCAGAAATGGCAGCACTAAAATATGTCCTTAAAATATTAAATCTTTTACCGGCTTTTAAAAATGCAGTGTTAGTTCGTAAAATTTTTCTGTAAAAATAGAAATTTCTCCCTTAAAAATAGGCTAACAACCGTTTAAAGCCGATATAGAAAAGCAGTTTTTCACAGTCAAAGTAAAAATAATGTTTTATGGGTACTTCACCCAAAATTTGCACAGTAGGCTAGAGCGCGCTTCTAGCGCGAAGAAATTCAAAATAAGTAAGTGTTTTATTTCGACCAAATTAAGGGAATTTTGAATTCTTTAATATCTGTAGATAATGAAACATCTTTAAATTACCTTCAAATCTGTTGAATTTTTATCAGGTAACCATTCAAAGTTTAGGAATTATACTTACTTGCTTCCTGTTGATAAATTGCGCGTAAAGGTATTGCTTCTCTTACAATGTTTATTATTAATTTATTCTTACTTTTTGACTATAATTGTATTAAATATTGTCATACGTTATGGCTGGAACGAATAATGGTTAGTTTTTATTATTATTGTACTGTCACTACCTTAATAAAGTAACCGCTGCATACTTTTAATGTATGTATGGACATTATTAAGGTTTTAAAAAATGTCACTCACTGTCACACTTTGTGTTTAGGTTTTTTTAATAGCTTACCGTTCTGTCTTTCAAATAAATCTTAAATCAAGTGCTAGTAGGCGCAACAAATATGGTTTGTTTATTTTTTTCAGTTAATACATTATCCCTAACTCATACGGAGCTTTGTGAAAAGTGTTTTAGTTTGAAGCATTTCAATATAAAATTAGTTTTAAATTACTTAGTAGACTACCCATTTTCAAAAATAGATATATCTCGAAAAAAAAATTATTCAAATTTTTTTTTTATATAGAAAAACGCTGGAAGCCCAGAATAAATATCATTGTATTGTCATACATTGGTGATGGAAACCATCAATTAAAAAGCTACTAATAACAATTAATAATTTTAAATTAATTACTGATAACTATTAGTGAATATTAATACTTTTTGCTACCACCGCGGTAAGCTAGAGAGCGCTTCCACCAGTGAATTTTGAATTCTTTAATATCTGTAGCAAATCAAATAATGTTATATCACCTTCAAATCTTGCTTTGTGTTGGTAAATTGCACGTGAAGGTTTTGCTTCTCTTACAATGTTAATTCTTAATTTATTTATAATTTTTGACCATCATTGTATTCAATACTGTCATACGTTATGGCTGAAACAAATAATGGTAAGTTTTTATAATTATTGTACTGTCCCTACCTCAATAAAGAAAGCGCTGCATATTTTTTATGTATGTATGAACAATACTAAGGTTTTAAAAAATGTCAGCATTCTCACACTCTCTGTTAAGTGTTTTTAATAGCTTTTAAATTCTTTTAAATAAATCTAAAATCAAGTGCTAGTAGGCGCCACAAATATTTTTTGTTTGAAGCATTTTAATAGAAAGTTGCTTTTAAATTACAAAAGTAAATGGATCTCGGAAAAAACTTAATTCAAAAATTTAATTTTTTTCAAAAAATATAGAAAAACGCTGAAAGCCCAGAAGTAATATTATTGTAGAAAATACTGTCATACGTAACAATTAGGTTTTATTTTTATATAGTTCAGTTATAGTTTTGTAATTTACTCATTAAAACTATAGATCTTAATTTTGCCATCACACAAATATACTTTTGTTAAAGTATTATATTGTCGATTTGTTTTTCTATTGGTAGTAAAAAGTAATTTTTATTGAAATTTTATCAATAAGACCAAAAAAATTAACATAAACTAAGAATTACTTAAATAATTTCTTCGCGTTAAATTGGCTCTCTAGCCCACTGTGATTTGTAACGATTGATCGGCCAATATTAGTTTTTTGTCGACGAAATCAAAATGTCAGTTCAAACATCCATACAAAATGTTTCAAGATTGGATTCAAGAAACTATTAAATAATTTTGTATTCAGATAATAGAATAATTTTCACAGTTAGTATTATTTCAACTTTATTTTGACGATTGTATGACATTTGACAAAAGTCAACTAACTTAAAGCTTTAGCCCGTGACTAAAACGCCATAAAGTGACAGCTTGTAAATATAATTAAAATATTACTTAGTGTTTTGGAAGCATGTACGATAAAGTAGACAAATATAATTTTATCCGCAATTCACATATAAGATCATAATAATTATTACACTGATTTGTGACCCATTATAATTAATAACAAAATACTTAAAACACTAGTGTTTTATGATAATTAATTGAATATTTATTTATTAGAATTAAAATTTACATTATTACTAAATGTAAATACCTTTAGTGGGTTTAAAAAAACTTTTCAAAAACGAAGTCAGCTCACAAAATTTATAAATTTGTACACTCTCATGTACTCGCAGGGTTCTCTTGAGTATCGAATGTTTTGTCCACATTGAGAAGGATACAATTTGTTTTAATATTTAGAAAATATGCAGCACATCCTCCGTCATTTCTTCCTTACCTCTTAATTTTCTCCATTTTTTAAATTCGAAAATTTTTTTGTCGTAGTCTTGCTTTGACTTTCTTGGTAGCAACTGCAAACACGTTTTTGAGCTTCTTTTGTTATCATCTTTTTATACTTTGGTATTTTTTGACAAATTTTTCAAAATTTATTATTTGTAATTATCCATTGTAACAAACTCATGACTTGATGGCTTAGTTTTTTGTGTTGACATAACCTACCTTTCAAAACGCAGTATTTGATCTAAACCAGTTAATATAATAAAATAAAATATAAAGTATATATAAAATAATAAAATATTTTAAAATTAAAAAAATCTAATTTAGATATTTATGATCTTCATATTTATATATATTAATATCATGTTAATGGCATACTTCGCAGTTGGCTATGGCACATTGAATTCAGCTGCCTTTGAAGCATGTAATGCTTGATGAACAATAATTTAAAACTGCGTTTTAAAGGATAGCTCTCCATATTATATCCCACAATATTATAATTTTGTGATCCGCATAATTATGCCTAATATTAATATTTTAATTATGCATAAAACGTTGTATTGCACTTGTGGATTACCAAGCAATAAAACTATTTTGTTCTCTATAATTTTCAGGACCCCGTCTGTAATATTTTTGTTACATTAATAAACAAATGGTAGCAATTCATCATGAATCAAATAATTATTTTAATTTATTAAAACTAAATTATACGCTAGTGATTTTATTAAATTACTTAACAAGTATTGCATAATAAAGATATTTGCACACAAATAATAATTATTTAGATCTTGTAATATTCAAAGTTCTATCAAAACCGCAGCTCAACAAGTTGGTTTCTTTAATCAATAAATGTTGAAATGTCCAATTATTGTTGCTAATAAAAATCAATAAGGGTGAAAATGTTTCAAACAGTTTGGCTAAAATTAAAATTTAAATAAGGCCCAACCTTAGGTTGTGATAAAATCATTGACAAAAATGCCATCCTCGACAAATTAGGTCAATGGTAACTAACTTATAAAAATCCATCAACCCAGCTGCGACTTTGCTAGAGGTGATGAAAAGTAGTAAACCTGTTTAATGATGTAGGGTAAGATGATTTGGATTTTATCCAGCGTGATGAGCAGTTTTAATTTCTACCAGAAATTAA